TCAAACTCCGAACCCAGAAGGCCCTTTTTATGTCATTCTGTGACATCCTGCCAAGAATACACACCTAGTGATGGAGTGGGAACAAGGATCCAGCTTGGGCTACACAGAGAGCAATAGAGCAGTCTGTAGGATAACCTGCAATGTCTAGGAGAGAAAAGGAGAATGAAGAATAAAACAGTCATAAAATGGGCCTTCGTTCAGTCTTTAGCTTTCAGTCTAAAGACTGAAACAGGATCTGCACCTTTCACCCTCGTCTCCAGATTGGTTCAATGACTCAGCTCGGAAGGGGAAACGGTTCTGGAAGACAAATCTAGGCCTAGGCGGGGTCACCTGGGTTTTTCGAGGAGTAGCTAGCACCAGTGTCGAGAAAACCATTATTTTAAGTGTTATTTCACCATCTTCAAAGACACCAGGCATTTCACCAGCATCTTTTGAAGGTTGGTTTCATGAGCTCACGGCCTGAGATGATTCTCCAGATTTGTGTGTGCATGCCTAGCTAAGGGGATATTTCGGAGAAGTCGGTCCTAGAGCCTTTAAAATCTTTAAATTCTTTCAAAGAATTACCTCCCCACCGGTCACTATTCCTTCAAGAACGGTGGCCCCTTTCACCCTCCTTTCTCGAATAATTTTTTGGAGTTGGCCTTTGCAGGAGGTGGAAAGTGCGGGTCCCGTGTTGTCAGTCCTTCCCTCTGGCTGCTTATCCCCAGTCTACTTTAGACTGAAACAGGATCCGCACTTTTCACCCTCCTCTTCCGAGCAGTCCCATGACTCAGCCCGGAAAGGGAAACAACGCTGGGAGACAAATCCGTTCTTACGCACAGTCACGTGGGGTTTTTCGAGGAGTAGCTAGCACCAGTGTTGAAAAACTCGTTGCTTTGTTATTTCACCATTATTTCACCGTCTTCAAAGACACCAGGCATTTCCCCAGCACTTTTGAAGTGTGGTTTCATGAGCTCACAGCCTAAGACAATTCTCGCAGAGATTTCTATCCCGATCCTTAGCTAAGGGGCTGTTTCAAAGAAGCCCTTCCTAGAGCATTTAAAATAACCATTCTGCAAAGAATTATCTCCCCATGGGTCAGCATTACTTCAAGAACAGTGGCCCCTTTCACCATCCTTTCAGGAATAATTTTTTGGCGCTGGCCTTTGTGAGAGGTGGAAAGTGCAGGTCCCGTGTGTCAGTCCTTCCCTCCAGCTGCTTATCCCCAGGGATGAGAAGTGCGCATGTGCCAGTCTATATTAGACTGAAACAGGATCCACACTTTTCACCCTCTTCTCCAGACTGGTTCGATGACTCAGCTTGGAAGGGGAAACCATTCTGGCTGACAAATCTAGGTCTAGGCATGGTCACCTGGGTTTTTCGAGGAGTAGCTAGCACCAGTGTTGAGAAAACCATTATTTTAAGTGTTACTTCACCATTATTTCACCATCTTCAAAGACACCAGGCATTTCCCCAGCATTTTTTGAGGTGTGGTTTCATGAGCTCATGGCCTAAGATGATTCTCACAGAGATTGCTATACAGATGCTTAGCTAAGCAGCCCTTTTGAACATGTTGGTCTTATAGCCTTTAAAATAAACATTCTGCAAAGAATTTTCTCCCCATGCGTCACCATTACTTCAAGCATGGTGGCCTCTTTCACTATCCTTTCAGGAATAATTTTTTGGAGCTGGCCTTTGTGAGACGTGGAAAGTGCGGGTCCCCTTAGTCAGTCCTTTCCTCCAGCTGCTTATCCCCAGGGATGAGAAGTGCGCTTGCGCTAGACTGGTGAACAGTGCGGATCCTGTTTCAGTTTAACTGAAACAAGAACCGCACTTTTTTTTTTTTTTTTTTTTTTTTTTTTTTATGCTCTGAAGACAGTTGAAGAACCGCACTTTTCACTCTCCTCTTCAGACTGGTTTGGTGGCTCAGCCTGGAAGGGGAAAGGGTGCCGGCAGGCAAATCCGTGCTCGGGCACAATCACGTGGGTTTTTCAAGGAGTAGCTCTCACCAGTGTTGAAAAAGTCATTACTTCAATTGTTATTTCATCGTCTTCAAAGACACCAAGCATTTCCCCAGCATTTTTTGAGGAGTGGTTTCATGAGCCTACAGCCTAAGACGATTCTTGGAGATTTCTATCCCCATGCTTAGCTAAGTGGCTGTTTTGAAGAAGTCAGTCCTAGAGCATTTAAAATAACCATTCTACAAAGAATTTTCTCCCCATCGGTCACCATTACTTAAAGAACAGTGGCCCCTTTCAAAAACCTTTCAGGAATAATTTTTTGGTGCTGGCCTTTGTGAGAAGTGGAAAGTGCAGGTCCTGTGTGTCAGTCCTTCCCTCTGGCTGCTTATCCCCAGGGATGAGAAGTATGCATGGGCAAGACCAGTGAAAAGTGCGGTCAGGATCCGCACTTTTCATCCTCCTCTTCAGACTGGTTTGGTGACTCAGCCTAGACATGTAAATGGTGCTGGCAGACAAATCCATGCTAAGGCACGGTCACATGGGTTTTTTGAGGAGTAGCTAGCACCAGTGCTGAAAAACTCATTACTTTAAGTGTTATTTCACCATCTTCAAAAACACCAGGCATTTCACCAGCATCTTTAGAAGAGTGGTTTCATGAGCTCATGGCCTGAGATGATTCTCACTGAGATTTCTGTGTGGATGCCTAGCTAAGGGGATATTTTGGAGAGGTTGGTCCTGGAGCCTTTAACAAATCTTTAAAGAATTATCTCGCGAACCATCAACATTACTTCAAGAATGGTAGCCCCTTTCACCACCCTTTCATGAATAATTTTTTTGGAGCTGGCTTTTGTGAGAAGTGGGAAGTGCAGGTCACGGTTCAGTTCTTCCCTCTAGCTGGTTATCCCGAGAGAAGAGAAGCGCGCTTGCAGGAGACCAGTGAAATGTGAGGATGTCCCGGCCCGCGGGACCTTCTGTTACTCTTGGGGTCAAGGGGGACCGTGCCTGAAAGAGATGGGCGAGAGAAAGGAACGAGACCAAGCAAAGGGTTGTCAAGGTCTACTTTACTTAGATTCTTAGTAGGTTTTATAAGCATACAGAAACAAGGAAGTAGAAACAAAAAATGCAGTGGGGTGACGGTGAGTCTTGGGTTTGGGCTAATCAGCCCCAATCAGTATCTTATCGGTATGAGGTTTGTGACTGATTACTCAACCCCAACCTGGCAGGTGGTCGGGAACAATTGCAGTTAGCATACCCTGGAGCATTTTGGAACGCATTCTTTTCAGAGCTATAGCTGGAGGGTGGGGTGTTGTTTTTGTCCTAGGAATTTTTCTAGGGCGAGGCCCGTGCGTAGGACAAGTCATAGGAGAGTTGAGGGTCTCTGAGGGTCCTTGCCTCTAACATGAGGAGCCTGTTTCAGTCTTTAGACTTTAGTCTTTAGTCTTTAGACTGAAACAGGATCTGCACTTTTCACCCTCATCTCCAGACTGGTTCGATGACTCATCTCGGAAGGGGAAATGGTTCTGGCAGGTAAATCTAGGCCTAGGCGGGGTCACCTGGGTTTTTCAAGGAGTAGCTAGCACCAGTGTTGAGAAAACCATTATTTTAAGTGTTAGTTCACCATTATTTTACCATCTTCAAAGACACCAACCATTTCACCAGCATCTTTAGGTAGACAAAAGATGTGCAGCAAAAAAAAAGTTCAGTCTTTAGTCACAGGTGGCCTCGTGTGCAGCAAAAGCCAGTGCTTGCTACCCTCTTCCACAGTGCCACCCTGGAATCTGGCCTTGAGTATCATGCATCACAACTTCACCCTCTATGACCAAAGTCAATCTCCCAGCCAAGAAGGCCCTTTTTGTGTCATTCTGTGGCACCTGGTCATTCCCCTCTAGGATAAGAGATAGAGACACCTCAACCCCCTCTGTCTTTTTTCTTGGTTTGACTCTCCAGGGCAAGGAGCTCCCTTTATAAAGGTGAGTCTACACTTCATATGTTTTTCTTATGGATTGGGGCTCCATCCTACTATCCTAAGCAGAATCTGATTTAAAACTGAAAAGGGAGAGGGAAATAATGTGCACATTTCTTTAAAATTTTGAGCAACCGAATCCATTTAGAGTAGGTTTAAAGGAGGCCAGGGCTCCAGCTTCCATTCCCATATAAGCCTTGAACAGAAAAACTATTCATGCCATAGGCTGTGCCTGAACCCATTTTATGACTGTTTTATTCTTCATTTTCCTTTTCTCTCCTAGACATTGCAGGTTATCCCACAGACTGCTCTACAGCTTTCTGTGTAGCCCAAGCTGGATCCTTGTTCCCACTCCACCACTAGCTGTGTACCCTTGGCACGTTACCTAACTTCACCAAGCCTCAGTTTTCTTGTCTGTAAGTGTTGCTTTGAGGATCAATGAGGTAATCTACTTAGTAGAGTGTCTGGCATATAGCAAGCACTCGGTAAATATTAGATGTTAGTATTAGTAGTAACTAACCATTTCCACTCCCTGTAGGACCAACGTGAATCTTTATAACCAACCACTGATTCTTTGCAAGTCCCTCTGGGAAAGCCTACTTCTGCCAATGTCATGATGGTTATGTCAGTCAGGGTTCTCAACAACTGAACTAATTCATGATTCATTAGATTGGTTTCAAGTCCCAAAGACCCATCTCAGTAAACAGATCTCTGCCTAAACTTTCCGAGTCTAAGCTCAAGTATCTTCTGTAAATCAGCTTTCAACAATGATTTTGGATTCTATCGTATTGACAGCCCCTCCCTAAGCTTGTTGCACAGATTTGTTGAGTAAATGATTATTGTTTTATTGGTTCATTTATGTATATTGTATCATTAAAGGTATTCAGTTTTTCAACCAACTTTGAACTACCTACATACAGCATGCCAGGAATTGTGGTCTTAATTCGAATATAAATTAATCTGAGGAAGTAGTGGGTCTCTCATTTATTTGAGTTTCCTGAAGGTCCAGCACAGTTACGGGCACACTGGAGGGTACTTCATAGTTCTACACAATTATTAATATTTTTGTCCTTTAAAAATGAATAAAATAAACTTTTTTGGGGGTGAAGTAAATTTTTCATTCGGTAGTTGAGCTGGTTACTGAGTGAAGTCTATTATGAACCCTTCACAAAGTGAAGACTTGTTTTGTAAAGCGAAGGATCTCCCCTTCTTCACGTATGTGTGAATTCAGATTTTCATAGGCCGCGTTTGCTCACAATCTGTTGGCAAATCTTTGCTTTTCCTACAGCACAGGACGACGAACCTCGGGTAACAGCAGCCTCCCGCGAGGGGGCGCCCGACTGCCCACGGCGATTGCTCCCGCACTGCGCAGCCTCCTTCCAGGGGTGGGCGGAAATCCCCTTGCTGACGCGCCTGACGTCTCCGGAGGGCGAGGCCCGCGGGAGGGGGAGGAGTCTTCCCTGCAGCGTGGGGCGGGGCCACCGCGAGCGCGGCTGGCACGGCCGAGGTGGGCTGGGCGTGGGAGGCGGCGGCTGCTCCTCCGCGGTGTTGGGAAGATGGCGCCGCCGGTGACCGAGAGGGGGCTGAAGAGCGTCGTGTGGCAGAGTGAGTGCGGTGGGGTAGGGGCTGAGAGAGCGAAGGCCGGGAGGCCGCCGCGCCGGGCCTTGTTTTCCTGCTGCAGCCCCGCAGTGTCTTGGGGAGCCGCCGCGGACACTTGTTGCTCTGGGACTCGCGTCTCTGTTAGGACTTCTTCCTGCTTTCCTTCCCTGCCCTGTTTCTTGCCAGCACCAGGGATGGGCGGGGTGCGACAGGACGCGGCCTTCTCGCGGGCGTCGGGCACCCCCTCGCGTCGGCCGGGCTGTGGCCGCGAAGCTCCGCCCGGGGTGGGCGCCGCGGGCCGGGCTGTCCCTTCCACGGCCCCTCTGCGCATCCTCGGCCCCGCTGCCCGCTCTCGGCTCGCGCCCGGGCCCCGCCAGTCGGGGATGTCTCTCCATCCGACACAATCTGGCCGCTGTTTCTCTATCCCGCCTCCCCCGCCCCCATCTCTTCTCCACGCTTTAGTTTCCAAAGGACTGCTTGTTCGTGTTAGTGTCAAGGAGGTTCTACAACTGTACTTTTCAAAAAACCTCACTGTTAAACAGACCCTTCTTCCACTCTTCCTAGAGGAGACTGCTTTCTAAAAAGTTGTTCAGAAGGGACCATTGGAATGATGAGATGTCTAGCCGTGACAGCTCCCTGCATAGCCGGGCAAGCTGCACCTTCACCTTTTCCTTTGCTCTCTCCTGGCCGCTCCCTGCTGTTAGGACCAAACTACTTTATTGGTTACTGATGTTCTGCCGTCTCATCTGCGACTTTCATAAAAATCACCCAAACTTAGGTCTGGCAAGTTAAAAAAGTAATAAAACCACCGAACAGGAAGAACCACCATTGTTTTGCATCGCTGGGTTCAAAGTAATTATGGTCTAGTAGTGGAAAAGGAGTAACATCTAATTAGTATTTCTTACTCTAACCTGTTGAGCAAAGAACAGAAGTGATTTAGTCAACAGATTTCTGGAAGTTACAGAGTTCAGTAACTGGGATAGTGCTTAACATATAGCAGAAACTAACGTGTATGAATACGTGGAAAAAAGAAAATTATCTTTTTAAAAATTGGTTATCCTAGAATAACACAGGGGAGTAAACATTTTTAAAAAAAATAAAAGCCGGGCGCGGTGGCTCACGCCTGTAATCCTAGCTCTCTGGGAGGCTGAGGCGGGCGGATTGCTCAAGGTCAGGAGTTCAAAACCAGCCTGAGCAAGACCACGTCTCTACTATAAAATAGAAAGAAATTAATTGGCCAACTGATTTATATATGTAAAAAATTAGCCGGGCATGGTGGCACATGCCTGTAGTCCCAGCTACTCGGGAGGCTGAGGCAGGAGGATTGCTTGAGCCCAGGAGTTTGAGGTTGCTGTGAGCTAGGCTGATGCCACGGCACTCACTCTAGCCTGGGCAACAAAAGTGAGACTCTCTCAAAAAAAAAAAAAAATAAAAAAAAATAAAAGATAAAAATTGGTTAATTTTAAGGTTGACAGTTTGGTTTTCAAGATTTACATAGTTGGCTTTTAAGATTTGGCAATGCTTTAAATTCACAATGGCATTTAAATACATTTATGTGAAAATGGGTAATGAATTGTGTTATATAAATTGTTTCCAAGATATAGAGGTGCTTAACATCAGCATTTATCAGAAAAAAAGATAATGATAGTAATGTCAGTCTTGATAGCATGAAAACTAGGCAAGAGGGAGACTGTAGAGAAAAAATTTCTATCTTGTGCTGTTAACTTGTGGCACCAGGCTATCCAGATGGAGTGTAAGATGAAGGCAGAGTTTGAGTGGAAGGAAGTAGGTGTAAATGTTATAAAATAGTTCTTTGAATCTTTGTGTAAATTGAAACAACCAAAAGAGAAGGTAATATTCATTTAACATTTATTGAGTAAAGCATATATTGAGAAGGGGGGAGCCTCTGAGTTCTCTTAGCCAAAGATGAAAGATTCTGAAAGAAATGTTGAAGGAATCTCCTGGAAGTAGGTGAATTATACATTTGACTGGGAAAAAGGGTTTTGTAAATTGAAGATACTACAGTTGGTTGAGGCTAGAAAGCTAAATAACTTAAGAACCTTTAATTTATCAAAAAAAGCGTGGTAAATAGGGAGGGGAGAACTAATATTTCTTGAGCATTTACTCTGTGCCAGGCACAATTCTTTTTGCTTTTTTCTTTTTCTTTTTTTGTTGTTCTGAGCATTGTACGGACACAATTCTTTACATGTATTAAACATCATGAGAATTAATATCTCTATTTCATAGATGATAAAATTGATAAGCTATAAAAGCATAGCAGCATTATTCATAATAGCCAAAAATTGGAAATAACTCAAATGTCCATGGACTAATGAATGGATAAATACAATAAAAAGAAATGAAGTACTGATATATTCTATAAAATCAATGAATCTTGAAAACATTATGCCATATAAAAGAAGCCAGTCAGTCACAAAGGACCACACATATTGTATGATTCCATTTATATGAAGTGTCCAGGATAGGCAAATCTGTACATACAGAAAGTAGATTAGTGGTTGCCTACATCTGAGGGGATGGGGCACGTGGGGGGATGATGGTTAAAGGAACAGGCTTTCTTTTTGGAGTAATGAAAATGTTCTAAAATTGATTGTGGTGATGTGACAGATGCATAACTCTGTATACTGTGTGCTGCAAACTATTGAATTGTACACTTTGAATTGTATGATATGCAAATTATATTTCAATAAAGTTGTTTTTAAAAATCTGATACAACTATTTAATATAGACATAGGATTCACAGCCCAGATCTTTTTGACTAGAGTTAATGTATGACCTGCCTGTGGCATTCCCTAATGTTTAAACTTAATTCAGGACATTCTGCCCAGTCTATTGCAGTAGCCTCCTAATTGAGCTTCCAAGCTCTTATTCTTTCTCACTCCAGTCCATCCAGAAAATAGCTGCCAGAATACTTTTCCTGTGATGGTATTGTGCTATTATCATGCACTTCTCTTGCTTGAAGATCTGCAGAGACCATCAGTTGCCTAAAATTCATTCCAAACATTTAGCCTGCTTTTGAAGGCTTATAACCTGGCCCCAACCTACCTTGTTATTCTTAAATACTTTCACTTGTATAATCTTGTTGTTCCATGTAGTCTATGTGGTTTACTCTTTTTTTTTTGACAGAGTCTTGCTCTGTTGCCTGGGCTGGAGTGCCATGGCATCAGGCTAGCTCATAGCAACCTCAAACTCCTGGGCTCAAGCGATCCTTCTGCCTTAGCCTCCTGAGTAGCTGGGACTACAGGCATGTGCCACCATGCCCGGCCATTTTTTTCTATATATTTTTAGTTGTCCAGCTAATTTCTTTCTATTTTTAGTAGAGACCAGGGTCTCACTCTTGCTCAGGCTGGTCTGGAACTCCTGACCTTGAGCGATCCTTCTGCCTCGGCCTCCCAGAGTGCTAGCATTACAGGTGTGAGCCACCATGACCGGCCTGGTTTACACTTTTTGAAATCTTTTACTTCCACATCTTATTTGATGCTGATTCCTCTGTTTAGAATGCTTCTCTTTCCCATATTTTAGTTCACCTTTCCACATTTTAGCCAGCCTTCAAGTCTCAGCTTAAATAGGGCTACTGTAGTTAGCCCATAGTAGTTTCTCATTTTAATCCGGCCTCTTAAGTTTCTGTAGCATTTAGTTTTATCTTCTTTAGTGGCACTTCTCACTACTGCCTTATATGATTCTCTTGATAAGCTTCTTGAAGGTAGTTTTACTGTTGTCTTGTAGAGCTTTAAATTCGTAATGGCCTAGCAGAATGTGATGGATAACAATGCTTGTTTAAAATAAATGAAAGACACTGTTATTTTTCCCTATTTCTTGCCACCTAAAGCCCCCCATTTATTCAGTAAATATTATTGAATTCCTATAGAAGTACAGCAGTAGAAAGCAGACAAGTTTCTAGCCCTCTTCAAACTTGCTTTCAAGTGGTGAGAAATAGAAAATAAACAAGTAAACAAAGAATAAAGATGATTCTTTCAGTGTGTGATATAGACGGAAAGAGGCTACTATAGATAGGTGGATCGGGGAAGGTTTCTCTGAGAAGGTGATATTTGAGCTGAGACCTGAAACATGAGAAGGAATCAGGCTTTAAGGATTACCTTAAAACCTTGTCTAAAAAACTGCCCGAATTTTAATATTTTGAGTGTGAAAGACTACATTTATTTACAAAACTAATTCCCATATTTAAAACTGAAAGTTTCTGTTGCTCATTTGCCATATTTGCTACAGGAAAGTGGTAGCAAAAATATCACTGACAAAAGGTTTTAAATAAAAATATGATGAAGTTTATTTAAAAAATAAACACAAAGCAAAACAACTAATTCAACTGCAAAGCAAGTTCAAACCACTGATGGCATTTCTTTTCCTTATTTATGACATTGTTCATTATAATTTTCTCTCATCTATAAACAGTAGTCTAATGCGATGTTTATAATTTATGTCTATTAAATATTCATTTAGAGTAACTTTTAGAGAAAATTAACATAGGTAGATTTTAAATTATTTTCAATAAAAATAATCAGAATGTATTTATTTGAGCCCATTCTTTATATATGATTCATAAGCTTTTTCCCTTTTTCACATTTTCCTTCTGGTCCTTATAGATCATGACTTATTTTTCATTTGTTATTCTGTGACTTCCTTTTTTTAAAAAACAACTAGTATTGACTCAACATTTTCCATGCTCCTTCAAAATCTTTGTAATTATCACTTTAAATTAATTCTTAAATACCTTGAGGTGGCAAAAAATGTTGATACTAGAAAAGAATATAAAATAAAATAAATCTTCCTCCCAACGCAGACCCCAAGCCTCTCTATCTAGAGACAACCACTCTTAGGTTTCTTATAAATCCTTGTACAAGGAGCAGTGGGAACAATGAAAGATGATTTTTCCCCCTCCTTCCTAAATAGCAGTCACCAGCATTTTTGGCATTCTATTAATGCCTAAAGAAAGCTATTTTCTTCTTCCTATTTTGAAAGGAAATGACTCTAAGATTTAATTAAGTGTAATGGTAGTGTAAAGTGCACTAATGCTAAGTGTACAGCTGGATGAATTTTTTTTTTTTTTTGAGACAGAGTCTCGCTTTGTTGCCCAGGCTAGAGTGAGTGCCGTGGCGTCAGCCTAGCTCACAGCAACCTCAAACTCCTGGGCTCGAGTGATCCTTCTGCCTCAGCCTCCCGGGTAGCTGGGACTACAGGCATGTGCCACCATGCCCGGCTAATTTTTTTTTATATATATATCAGTTGGCCAATTAGTTTCTTTCTATTTATAGTAGAAACGGGGTCTCGCTCTTGCTCAGGCTGGTTTTGAACTCCTGACCTTGAGCAATCCGCCTGCCTCGGCCTCCCAAGAGCTAGGATTACAGGCGTGAGCCACAGCGCCCGGCCTAGCTGGATGAATTTTTTACTCATGTAACTACCATCCAGATCAAGATATAGAAGGTTTCCAAGTACCCCATGACCTTTCCCAGTCAAGACTCCACCCTTTCCCCCAGAATAAATACTATTCTTGCTTATGTCACCACCAAATAATTTTTTCATTTTTTATTTTTTTTGAGACAGAGTCTCACTTTGTTGCCCAGGCTAGAGTGAGTGCTGCGGCATCAGTCTAGCTCACAGCAACCTCAATCTCCTGGGCTCAAGAATCCTCCTGCCTCAGCCTCCCAAGTAGCTGGGACTACAGGCATGCGCCACCATGCCCGACTAATTTTTTGTATATATATATATGTTTAGTTGGTCAATTAATTTCTTTCTGTTTTTAGTAGAGACAGGATCTCGCTCAGGCTGGTTTTGAACTCCTGACCTCAAGCAATCCGCCTGCTTCGGCCTCCCAGAGTGCTAGGATTATAGGCATGAGCCACCATGCCCAGCCCAAATAATTTTTTAATGGTGACTTTTTACCTTTATACCCTATGTTTAAGAGAGAAATCCTCCAGACCGTTTATTAAGTAATGTGTTTTCCTTAAGAGTAAATACTGAATTTACCACATTTTTACCTGGAAATAATTGTTTTAATATTTGCCTTTATATATTTAATAGTCCTCAGTTTTCATATGTTCTACTTTCATATAATATTTGAACATTAGATCTTGAAAGCCCTGAGTGGTCTTGTCCATGTGCAATTCATTTAGTGTTTTATTCAACTGAGTCATGATTATTGCTTTTGCTTCCTGCCCTAGGCCCCTGGGTTTGCCTTTATAAAAATTCTTTCTTACCTGTTTACTGAATAGCCTGGGTAGGCAGAATCTGTTGGAATCATAATTAGGAATTTAATAACATGTTTTAATTTTCTGCAAATGTAAATTCCTTTATGACTTACAAATCTGATTTTTTTGTTTTTGTTTTTACTTTTGGCTATTTGATTTTTAAAAACGTTTTCATTATGCATTATTTTTAAAAATCTAGTTTATTATTTCTCCACATTGGACTAATTATTATAAGACTTGGTTTCCAGTCCAAGTTATATTTCAGTTTCCTAACTGAAACAATGAGGGATTTGGACTACATTTTCTTTTCAGCTTGAATTCTCCATGATTCTGCTTTTTAGATCCTCACTTTGTTTTATTTTCTTTACTTCTGCTTGCATTCCTGGTAGTTTTCTTTTTCTTTTTTTTTGAGATAGAGTTCCAAGTTAGAGTGCCGTGGTGTCAGCCTAACTCACAGCAGCCTCAAACTCCTCCACTCAAGGGATCCTTCGCCTCAGCCTCCCTAGTAGTTGGAACTACAGGCATGTGCCACCATGCCCAGCTGATTTTTTTTTATACATATATTTTTTAGTTGTCCAGCTAATTTCTTTGTATTTTTTTAATGGAGACAGGGTCTCACTCTTGCTCAGGCTGGTCTTGAACTCCAGAGCTCAAACAGTCCTCCCGCCTCAGCCTCCCAGAGTGCATGGTGTGAGCCACCATGCCTGGCCCTGGTAGTTTTCTTTTGTGTCATAGTTTTCTTTTATGTTGCTTTATTTAAGACTTAAATATTTAATATTAGGTTTTCATTGCTTAATGACATTTTACAAATTATTTCTGTCTCACGACTTTTTGCTCTGACATCTGCTTTCTTATCATGATTTCTTGCTCTTTATTAGGTATGATCCTAGTCCATTACCAGCAAATTTAAAATAAATTCCATATAAAAAATCTAAAATGTAAAAAGTAAAATAATAAAATGTGAAGAAAATGTATGATAATATGGATTAGACTGTTAAAAAAGTTAACTGGTAACCCAGATGCCATTAAAAAAAGATTTTATTATATAAATATTATAAATTCCTTTTTGGCAGAAGACACCATGACACCATACATGAACAAAAATCAAGAGCTAAACTATAAACGTGAAGAAAGTATTGACTACACATATGAGGAAAAGGCTTAGTATATATAGAGTACCTGCAAATTGATTAGGAAAAGGTAATGACCCAATAGAAAAACAAGCAAAGAATATAAACAGGCAATGTGCTGATTAGAACATTGTTCTGTTACCAGTTTTTGGCTGGTTTTTTTTTTTTTTTTTTAGAGACAAGGTCTTGTTCTGTCCCCTGGGCTGAAGTGCAGTGGTGTAAAATAAGTAAAATAGGAGACACCTATCTTTTAGGCCAATAGTCTCACTATGGGAATCTTTGTTTCAGAAACAAAAGTAACAGTAAATAAAGATATATGTATAAGGATCTTTATTGCAGCATTATAGTGGCAAAATTGGAAGCAGGAAGACTGCCTATCATATGGGAGAATAGTTGAGTAAATTATGGTATGCTTGTATTAAGGAATATTATGTACCTACTAAAAATAATGAGTTCTAGCTATATGTTTATATGAAGGATAACCATGATGTATATTTCGTGAAAAAAGTGACAGAATAATCCGTATATGCTAATTCCATTTTTGTGATAATTTAATTATTAAAAGAAAAACTTGTAGAGATTAGAGAGAAGGAGGTTTGGACTTGAGAGGTAAATTAGAGTAGGAGGCAAAGAGACTAGTTAGGTTACTGTGTTGATCCACAAATTGGATTTTTTCCTTAGCCATTTTGGACCTTTTGAGCGGTTTATTATGATGTTTCTAACTCTTGATTTAGATTTTTAATTCCTAACTCCTTTTTTTTTTTTAAAACAGAGATAAAAGCCACAGTGTTTGATGACTGCAAGAAAGAAGGCGAATGGAAGGTAGAATTTGCATACTTTTCTTTTATATTGAGGACTTAAGTATATTGTCCTTATAATACTTCTGTGAGTATAGTTGGCTGTCCATTTCTGAGTTGTTCTTTTTTTTTTTTTTTTTAATGCTTGTATCTTTTTTTTTTTTATTTTGGCATATTATGGGGGTACAGATTTTAAGGTTTCAATAAATGCCCATTCCCCCCTCCCCCCTCTTTTTTTTTTTTTTTTGAGACACAGTCTCACTCAGTTGCCTGGGCTAGCTAGAGTGACATGGCGTTGGCTTAGCTCACAGCAACCTCAAACTCCTGGGCTCAAGTGATCCTCCTGCCTAAGCCTCCCTAGTAGCTGGAACTACAGGCTTGTGCCACCATGCCCGACTAATTTTCCCTGTTTTTAGTTGTCCGGCTAATTTCTTTCTATTTATAGTAGAGATGGAGTCTTGCTATTGCCGAGTCTGGTCTCAAACTCCTGACATCAAGTGATCCTCCCGCCTCAGTCTCCTAGAGTGTTAGGATTACAGTCATGAGCCGCCATGCCCGGCCTGTCAATCAAGCACAGATGGAAGATACTTGAAAAAATAATAATACAACAATAAAATAATACAAATTTAAAAATCAATACAGTATAAAAACTATTTACAGGCATTTACATTATGTTAGGTATTCTAATATTAAAAATCTGGAGATTATTCGAAGTATATAGGAGGATTGTGAAGGTTATATTAACTGAAGAAAATGACGAGGTTCATAAATTTGGAAAGGAGAGCTCTGTTATCTCATAAAGGGTTGCAGCCTGTGAGTAGCCATTCCCACAGCCTGCAAAGCAGAGGCCTGGGCAGAAGCCAGGAACATGAGACAGGAATTTATATTGAGTGGGACGGCCAAATATACATATTTAACAAGCTATAGGAGAAGTCATGAATATTTATGAAAGAAGAACCATACACATGTGCAGTTGAGCTTTATGTCCCTTCTCAGAAAATATGTCCCTGCTCAGAAAATAAAATAAGGGGTCCATGCTCAGAAAATGGCAGCCCTATGTTATAAGGTGCAGCAGGGACATGAAAATCCTCTTTGCACATGTTCCATGAACTGGTTAAAACTACTTCATTAGTTGGTGGTTTCTTGTCAGGAAAGAATGCTGGTCTGGATCACACAATTGGTTTCTATTAGCCCTTGGGAGAAAAGACTGATGGCTGTAGCAAGGGAGGGGGTATAATGAAGCATGTCTGACCTCCCATCTTTCCCATCCCATGATGGCTAGGAACTCAGGTTTAAGGTTTCTCTGGGGTCCCTTTGGCCAAGCAGGGATCCGTTCAGTCAATGAGGAGCTAAGGATTTTGTTTTAGTTCACACTTATTTGCAAATACTGTGTCATTTTTATATAAGTGACTTGCGCATCTGTGGATTTTGGTATGGGGGGAGGTCCTGAAACCAAGGGACGACTGTATGGAGTCTGGATCCACACTGCTTGTTTTCAAATCCTAACTTTAACACTTAGTAGCTGTGGCTCCTTGACAAGTTACTTGACCTTTCTCTGCCTCTGTTTCCTTGTTTATAAAATGGAGATGATAATACCTCATTTGGTATGTAAATATCAAGTGAATTAAACCATGTAAATTGCCTAGAACAGTGCTTAGAACAATAATTATTATTCTACAAGTGGCAATTTATAATTTTTAGAAAATTTGATGTTAAGCATAATATTTATTTATAATGAACAAGCTCTCCTGCTTCAAATTAGAAATATTTCTATTTGTTTACTTATGTGTATGTATATTGAGAAAATAAATCTCCAGATCATGCAGTTGAGATCATTTTGCCTACTGTCTTGATATTTTATGTTATAAAAAGTTTATAAGGTTGAATGGGTTTAATGGAAAATTCTGCCTTTTGTAAATTCTTGGTAATCAGATGCTTATTCTTAATTTGTGTTTGTTTTAAGATAATGCTTTTAGATGAGTTTACCACCAAGCTTTTGGCATCCTGTTGCAAAATGACAGATCTTCTAGAGGAAGGTATAACTGGTAAGTGTTACTAATTTTTGTTATGAAAACTTTTTGGGGGGGTCAGAGTCTCACTGTGTTGCCCGGGCTAGAGTGCTGTGGTGTCAGCCTAGCTCACAGCAACCTCAAACTTCTGGGCTCAAGTGATCCTGCTGCCTCAGCTACCCGAGTAGCTGGGACTATAGCACACACCACCATGCCCGGCTAATTTTTTCTATATAGATTTAGTTGGCCAATTAATTTCTTTCTATTTTTTATAGAGATGGGGTCTCCTTCTTGCTCAGGCTGGTTTCAAACGCCTGACCTTCACCAATCCTCCCGCCAGCCTCCCAGAGTGCTAGGATTATAGGCGTGAGCCACCGCACTCCTGGCCCATTTTTTATTGTGATTGGGGAGGCATGGAGTATTAAGAAATTTTAGTTAGTAATTGTGTTTCTGAGGAGCTTGTGTTTTATTTTATGACTTTAGCCACAACAATTAGATTTGATATTCTTCTTTTTCCTGAATCTCCGAAATAACCTATATCTGCTTTTTTTTCTTCAGCTGAGACATAAAAATAAGTACCCCCAACCAAAACTAAGTCAGTTGCCTTGTTGATGTTGTTTTTTAAATTTTTTACATATTTACCAGGTTTATATATTGATACACTAGGTTTACCTCAGTATTTTGAATAACGTTTGTGGTTTTCATGTATTACTTTAAAATGGATATTAAGATTTAGGTCATAAAATTAACTTTTGTATAAAATATATGTGTACAGTTATGTAAATATATTTGTACATTTATAGAAGTATATTTACAAATGTATAATGCTGACTTTGTGAATTTCTCTTTATTACCTAGAAATGAGACAAATAATTACAAGTTTAAATCAGTTTTAGTATGAAAATTTTAAATATTAATACTTACAGATTCTGAAAAAAAGTCATGCCACCAGAAGTTATTCCACTAGGCAGGATGGTGTTAATGAGATATTAATCTGTATTATCTTTGTGGGAAAATATACCAGTATCTTATAACATTAATAATCATGTTATCATCCTTAACTTATCATCCTTCATTGGTTTGAATTTTATCTTCATAACAACCCTATAAAGACAGATAGTAAATACTGCTATTCGTAACGAGGAAACTGAGACTCAATGTCAAATACAATTCATTTATATTTTGCATCCTAATGTACATATGTCCTCTGTCACTCCTAACTTGTGAGACTCAAAAGTATACCCAAAATTCTCAAGAAACCTGACTATGTAATATTTATGTTTTGATATTCATATGTAAAATATTCTTTATTGTTGATGACATATTCAATTTGTGATCTTTCTGACCCTCAATGGAAAAAGCATTAAACTAGAAATTAGATTAAAGCCTTAATTTTTCTGTTTCTGGATAAATGAAATGTTGATTAAGCCACTGAAGTTTTTCAAGTTCCCAAAGATCATTCTGATGTAAAACTAGGGTGAGAACCATTTGATAGTATGTGTGAAAGTACTATGAAACTGCAGAGCTATTATACACCGTAGGGAGGTTTTATTGATTTTGTAGACTGTCATTTCTTACTAGTGTGTTCAGTGTTGATTAATATTCTTGAAGTAAAGTATCCATGGCCAGCATGTTTAGGAAACAGTATTAAAGCTAAACATCTTTCTTTAGGACTTTTCAGAACCTTTTATACACCAAGATGTGTGTGGATCCCCTGGATAAAGCATAGGTATTCAGTTTTCTAAACTTACTTGACCATAGAAAGCTATTTTTGAGAAGCATTTCATAGGATAGATTGAGAAGCATTTCATAGGATAGAAGATTTCATACCATAGAGCTCACTGTCATGAATGTTCTTGATATCCTCCAGAGTAACCTAGGTTTGCTTTGGTTTAATCGTTTACTAACTTCAATTGATCAGAGTTGTTTCAAAGTTTCACATTACCTCTCCTGAGAATTCCTCTGTGAGACTTGGCATTAGCAAGTTCAGTGGTCAAACTTTCTGTAGTCATGTCACCAGAAAAGAAGCCAAACTCTATAAAATAATTGTAAAGAGATTTATTCTGAGCCAAATTTGAGGACCATGACCCAAGAAGCCTTGAGCAAATAGACTAGCTGTGGTTGGGTTGCAGTTTGGTTTTATACATTTGAGGGAGACAGGGGTTACAGGTAAAGTCCATAAATCAATACGGGGAAAGCATACATTGGTTTGGCCCAAAAAAGCAGGGTAGGGTACTTAAAGGTTATAGGTAGGTTTAAAGATTCTTTGACTTGTAATTGGTTAAAGACTTGAAGCTTTGTCTAAAGGCTTGAAATGTTTTAAGATAGGGAAGTCTGTTAATCAGAGATAAACCACTGGACATATATTTGTTGTGTAAATTGAGGACCTGCAGGGTTTGTCTTGCATACTCTTAGGCCTGTTAATGGGTTACAAAGGAATATCTCCAAGAATGGAGGGGGGCATGATGAGGCATGTCTGACTTTCCTCCTCATGGCAGGCAATTTAGTTTTAGGATATCCCCTTGGCCAAGAGGGGGGTCCATTCAGTCAGCTGGTGTGGGCAGAAGCCTTAAGATTTTATTTTAGTTCACAGTCATTTAGGTCATTGTATAACTATTCAGTAGTGTCCTCGAATTTTAAAAAGTAAATGAAGAAAAAATGATACTTCAGTATTTGCTACTTCAGTGGATAATAAAGTCAAGTGTAAAAGCCTTTTAAAAAATTAGACTGGGAATTAGATTATTCCTTTGTCACTATTAATAGGTCTTTTTCTTTTTTTCCATCATTTGATAGATATGCACTTTTCAGTGAATTGGAAAAATAACACTTTCTGCTGTTGTTAAAGAGATTTCAGCATTTTTCAAAGCCTGTGTTCTAAATCACATCACAGTATTTTCACTATCTTAACATGTACATTATTCACCAAACATAATAGTGTATATAGCATAAGATGACTGTAAGACACTTCATTTTGAGTATTAAAGAATGTAAATTAACACTGAACCTTAATCTTGTAGAATTATGATTGTTGGGAAAGGAGATAAAAATTAAATTTTTTCTTGGAAATTTTATTTGGCATCTAGTAGTAGCTATGATAAACCTACACACTACTAATATAAATTTAGGAATGAGGAAATGAAATCACTTTGTATTATTTCAGCATATTATGGGGTACATATGTTTAGGGTTACGTATATTGCCTTTGCTCCACCCGAGTCAGAGCTTCAAGCGTGTCCATCCCCCAGACGGTGTGCACCGCACTCATTAGGTGTGAATATACCCATCCCCTCCTCCCCCTCTCATCTGCCCGACACCCGATGAATATAACTTATTACTATATGTGCACTTAAGTGTTGATCAGTTAAAACCGATTTGATGGTGAGTACATGTGGTGCTTATTTTTCCATTCTTGGGATTCTTCACTTAGAAAAATGGGTTACAGTTCTATCCAGGATAATACAAGAGGTGCTATATCACCATTGTTTTTTGTGGCTGAGTAGAACTCCATGTTATACATATACCACATTTTATTAATCCACTCATGTATTGATGGGCACTTGAGTTGTTTCCACATCTTAGCAATTGTGAATTGTGCTGCTATAAACATTCTAGTGCAGATGTCTTTTTTATAGAATGTCTTTTGTTCTTTTGGGTACATGTCCAGTAATGGGATTGCTGGATCAAATGGTAGTTCTACTTACAGCTCTTTGAGGTATCTCCATATTGCTTTCCACAGAGGTTGTACTAGTTTGCAGTCCCATCAGCAGTGTAGGAGTGTTCCTATCTCTCCGCATCCATGCCAACATCTATTGTTTTGGGACTTTTTCATAAAGGCTATTTCTCATTGAAATCACCATATTTAAAAGAGAAATCCAATGATAGCCTCTCTTGCATGTCATATTAATGTTAATTATTTCTAGGCTCTTTGTCAACATGAATTTTGAAAGGTGATTCTCTGGATTTGTAGAAGGATATGTAAATAGCATGAAACGGTTAATTTGACAATTAGAGTTTATTAGTTTTATATTCATATTGTTTTAGGTAAATTTATAAACTTCTTAATTTCAATAATAAAAATATAACTGACTAAATTCTAATGATACTTTATTGTTGAAAAAATGCTTTATAAAAATGTATGATTTTAAAAGAATAATAATTAATTGGCAAGTTATTTAAAGACTATTATAGTAGATTGAGAAGCCTGCCTGTTCTACTTCCTAATTATGTGATTGGGTAAGTTACTTAACTCCTTTAAGCCTCAGTTTCCTCATTTGTAAGATACTTATCTTATAGGGTTCTTATGAAGTTCAATAAATAATTCATGTAATGTGCTTAGCCTGGTATCTGATGTCTTATTTGCTACTATTAATATTATAGCAGCATATTTAAAAAATACACATTTAATTTTTAATGCATCTTCTTGGTTTCTTCATGGCATGTTGATTGTTAATGCTGGTAGACCTACCTATGAAATAATTGCTTTATCTTTTTTTCCTCACAATAAAAAGACAATTTGGCCCAGGGTTTAGCCTCAGGGAAGACACGTTTTCAGGATTTTTTAGTTTAACAGATGAAGACAAGGAAAATGTTAAACCCAGTATATTTAAAAATGTTTCCCTGTTACTTTAATTGGAAAGTACAATTAAGTTTATTTAAAAATTGTTTCAAATGTATAAATATTTGGTTTTATAAAATGACCTTTATTTTTGTTAGTTGTAGAGAATATTTATAAGAATCGTGAACCTGTCAGACAGATGAAAGCTCTTTATTTTATCACTCCGACATCAAAGGTAAGCATTTTGAATCTTATAAAATAGTTTCATCAGCATTTTCAACATTGTTATGGTTTAGTAATAGAAAATTCACAGTAATAAAATACCCTTTATTGGAAAAATATTGCCATAAACTAATTTGCTTAGGAAAGTTTTTTCTGTGTTAGATTGTTTTATTTGCATTTTTCTCCATGAGAATGTATTTTCCCCGTATATGAAAGCAGAAAATCCTTTGGTCCTAGGGTTGATAAAGGAAAAAAAAAAAAAAAGCAGAATTAAATTGCATGAAATGATAGCATTTCTTTACATAATTTGTTATTCATGTAATTCCTATTGAACCGTAATTTTGGGGGGAAATATAGGTAAAAGAAATTGTCTTGAATTAATTCTTCCTTTATCTTAGTGACTTTCCTGTGTCATACATGTATGTATATATGCATATGTATGTATATATATATTTTATGTCAAACTTCTTTAGTTTATAATCTGACTATATGATTTAACCCATACTTTAAGCTAAATTTTTAGAGCCAATTAAAGTATCAGATTCCTTTTGTTCAATACTGGAGAATGTATTTTCGAATATCTCGTCTTGCTTATTCCCACCTAGACTGTTAATCTAGCAACCTCAGTTTCATTTCACTTCTAACTCTCGTAGACAGTAGAAAAAATCCCAGATATTCACTATTTAGTCTCTTCATAAAAGAAAATTCATGATTGGAAAGATACAAGTTAAAAGCAACATTTTCACCTAGCTAATTGACAGAGGGATTTTATGCCTGTATATGTATGTGTGTGTATATATCACATTTTAGCTGTTTTAGCTGTCAATGGATAATGTTGCAGAAACTATCATGTACTGCTAGTGGGAAGTGTAGATTGATACAGCCTTTTTGGAAAATAATTTGCCATTCTTTATCAAGGACCTTAAAAAAAAGTTCTATGTTTTAGAGTTTATCATAAGGAAATAATCAAATGGTTAAATCCTAGCAATAAATCTAATTAAGTTTTTAATATTAGTAAATAATAGTATGAAAGACTATATAGCCATTAAAAACAAGGTTTCTAGGAAGTTTTAATGACCTAGGTAAATGCTCTGTTGCCCGGGCTAGAGTGCCATGGTGTCAGCCTAGCTCACAGCAACCTCAAACTCCGGGGCTCAGGCAATCCTCCTGCCTCAGCCTCCAAAGTACCTGGACTACAGGCATGCGCCACCATGTCTGGCTAATTTTTTTATATATTTTTAGTTGGCCAATTAATTTCTTTGTATTTTTAGTAGAGACGGGGCCTCACTCTTGCTCAGGCTGGTTTTGAACTCCTGATCCTGAGCGATCCACCTGTCTCGGCCTCCAAGTGTTCATTTTTAATGTCAGGTGACAAGAGCAGGGTATAAAATTGTATATTCAGTAAAGAAGCAAAGGATTCAGAGAAGATGGTATCTGAAAGTGACTCCCTTATCTACCACAACCAACTCCAATTTCTTTCCTTCCATGAATATATTGCTTACTGGGTCCTGTAGGCCTCTGGGTACAAGTGAGGCCTTGCGGTCTGTGGGAGCAGTGGTAAAGACACCTGGTGTGAGACTTGCTTTCTCATAGACTGGGCAAGCACCTAGAAACTCAGCATCAGAGTTCCCAGGCAAGGATCACAAAGCGACAGATTTTAGGAAGAGTTTGCCATAAGAGATATGTGAACTCCAGGGGAAAGTTCAATTAGATGTCTCAGAAAGGCTCTGGTGGTTTGTCTGCTTTGCATTGGTGGTTTTGCCCTTGGGAAGAGAAACTTCTTTGACTTCCTCCTATTGTGACAACTAAGCCTCAAGTGAGTTGACAAGGAAAAGCAACCACACAGCTAAGTGGATCCAGCTACCAAAGAAAGAAAGTTCAATAAAACAAAGAAGACACATCTAGCAAAATAGAACTGCTTGAAGGATGACAATCTGAACAGAAAATAGTGCCATGAGGAGAGTCTACTATAGCACAAAAACCTTCCAAAGCTCAAAAGTGTGATTTGCTAAACAGTTAATTGAAGGAGAGGATAATTACTTTTGAAATTTCAATTAGTGGCCTAGAAGATCAAAATAGAATATCTCAAAGGGAAAAAAAAATCATGGAAATCATGGGGAAAAAGATAAGAGACTTATAGGATAGATCCATGTGATCTACCAGAAGGGTAAGATGGATCAGATGGAAAAGAGAAAATAATTAAATTCTTTGTTCTTGATTTTCGTATTTAGACAATTGTTACCTTTTATTTTTGAGTCAGAGTCAAATTCTGTTGCCCAGGGTACAGTGCCGTGGCGTCAGCCTAGCTCACAGCAACCTCAAACTCCTAGGCTCAAGCAATCCTGCTGCCTCAGCCTCCCGAGTACCTGGGATTACAGGCATGTGCCCCCATGCCCCACTAATTTTTTCTATATATATTTTTAGTTGGCCAATTAATTTCTTTCTATTTATAGTAGAGATGGGGTCTCGCTCTTGCTCAGGCTGGTTTCGAAATCCTGACCTTGAGCAATCCTCCCGCCTCGGCCTCCCAGAGTGCTAGGATTACAGGCGTGAGCTGCCGCGCCTGGCCCCTTCTTTCTTTCTAAAACAGCTGCATTGAGGCATATGCTTCCAGGCTATATTACCTGTTGCTTCTCATCTTTGTAGTCATCTACCAGGCTCTGGGTCTTTCTAATGACTTGACAATTTAAACTTCTAGCTTATTGTCACTCTTTCAACACTTCTCTAGTCGTAAGTCTTGGGGTGGTTTCATTTATCCTTGTTTATGATACTTCCAGAATGTTGGCTTCTCATTTCCTTGATCTGTTATCTTCTTATATAGTCTTGTCTTCTGTGTTGCTTCAGCTTTCCTAGGCTTCTTCATTGCCAATAAGAGCATCCTATTCATGCATGTTACTTTATAGTTTATTACCTTACTACTTGTTACCTTATTAGTTGTCATTGGCTAGAGAACATAACATCTTAAAAAATCAGTTTATAAATTAAGCATTTAGCCAGTAAGGTTTTATTTTATCATTGAAATAAAATAATCTTAGTTATTTCAAAAGCTAGCATATGTAAACTAGTATTTAATAAAATGTATATTAACATCTAACCTTTTTTAAGTCTGTAGATTGTTTCTTACGTGATTTTGCAAGTAAATCGGAGAACAAATACAAAGCAGCATATATATACTTCACTGACTGTAAGTCTTTTTAAAAGTTATTGCTTCATTGTTTAAAATCCTGTTAGTTTTAAAGTACCGAGTTATTTTCTTTTTGTCATTTATTGTAATTAGGTTAGAAATCTAAAAATATAAGATTATATCAATCCTAAAATGATAGGAAATTAAACCATTCCCAACTACTTTCAAAAGACAATCAGTTTTGATGGTATACTGGCATGTGGAGGGTTGGTAGAGAAGGCTGTACCTCAAATTCTAAACTGGTAACATAATTATTTTTAATCAAAGTTTCAATTGGAGATTTGATTATATTATAAAAAATAAGACCTTTTCGGAGGGCACTGAAGAAAGTAGCCATCTGTTCGGCAAATATTAAGGGAGAAAATCTATCACGTTTCTCTTACTATGCCATATCTTCACAAAGAAAGTAGCTAAAGAATCACATAGAAGTCTAGAGATACATACAATTCTGTTTTATGTTATATGTTATATAATTATACTTATAAGTAAAATAAAAATACCATTTATCTAAGTTGTCTTGGTCTCTGCTATTAAAGATTCCTCACTTTAAGTACTATATTGTTTTTCTTAGAAAGTTTTACCTCATGCCTAGTACTAGTTTATATTTTTTAAAATGTTATACCATAAGTATTTGTCATGTAAGTAACCTTATTCAGAATTTCTGTTTATGAATTGATAAAATTTAATGAATGCAAAGTCCCTTCTAACTTAAGAAATCTTAACACTAGAGAAAATCATGTTAAAAGACACTGGCAGCCAATGGTTGTTATTCCAACCTAGATTTAGTGGAACTATGAACTCTTAAGTGAAAGGGGAAAAACATGGGTTATGAGTTCTAGAACTTAGTATTTTAGAACTTAGTACTTAGAATTTCCTAACATTAGAAAACTGCTTGTGATTTGAGGAAAAATTAGCAACTTGTGTGATATGGTTGCAATGTAGATCACCTAGTGGCAGATTTGGAAAAGTAGTGTAAATTTCCAAGACATTCTGAAAGTGCTGCTCTTTATAAAAGTTCATGAGTTTGGACATGATTTTCCTTCCTTAGCAATTTTAGTTTGCTCTGTTAGCAGATCTCTATGGAAATATTATCTGAGGTTATAGTGTATGTGAATGGGGGAGATGGAATCTCTATTATAGCCCTTTTGACTAGAATATTATCTATTCTATAAAGCAGAGAGTAATACTGATACATTATCTCTGTCCTCATAGTAAATTACTTTGTGAAAACTAGTAATTATGCATAAAAAATAAATAATTCTTGGATGTTATAATGATTTATTCAAAAAGAATAAAGGTTTAGATGGAGTTTTATGCTTTGATTTTTTTTCCCTCCCTCTCAGTTTGCCCTGATAATCTCTTTAACAAAATTAAGACTTCTTGCTCCAAGTCAATAAGAAGATGTAAAGAAATAAATATTTCCTTCATTCCACATGAATCTCAGGTACTTTCTATTTTTATTTTTAATTTTCATTCATATTGGATTTTTAAATTTGGTTTTATGAGCTTATTAATAAAGTATATAATAAAGATTTTTATATATGTATTTGGTGAATTTTGAACCTAATCCACAAATAAACATTCCCTATGATGAAGGGAGCAACATGGGCAATAAATTGGAATGTGATGTTAATAATAAAAAGTCGTGTTTAAATTTTATATGTGTCACCAAGTACTATGTTTATCAAATTACAGCACTACTAGATTATGAAATCAAGAGATTTTTAAGCACAGTCCTCATTAGATCACTCCAAAAAATAAATATTTCATTTAGCCTCTGTAACCATTCATGATATTAAAATACAGATTTGTTCATAAACTTTATATAATATTAAGTAAATTATTATTTTAATTTATACAATGAAGGGGTTTTGTTGATTTGTTTGCTTTGTTTGCTTTTTGAACAGTTAATGAGCCTTTACTTAATAACTAATGATGATCATAGCAAACATAGTACTCTGTATCAGATACTCTTTTGAGTGCTTTACATAAATTTATTCATTTAATCTTTGGTAGCCTTATGAACAGATGGTACTTCTGTCTCCATTTTAAAGATCAGGAAATCAAAGAGGTTACGTCACTTGCCCCAAGTCACATGGCTAGTGAATCGTTCACATTTGTTGTGCTTTTTAATCTGTATTTGGATTCTAGCATTTTATAGAATTGAAATAATTTGCTGTTGTTTGGAACTATGCGATCAATATTTGAAGGCTACGGTCTCTATCCCCGGGCACAGACCTGGTGCTGGGCTGCAGCCCAGCAGGAACCGGGCTGCAGAGCAGGAGGCAAGTGGCCTGCAAGTGAGCAAAGTCCCACCTGCACCCACAGCAACTCTCTATCACTTGCATCACTGCCTGAGCCCCGCACCCCAATAGATCAGCAGGGGCATTAGACCCTCATAGGAGCATGAACACCACTGCAAACTGTACATGCAAGGAATCCAGAGTGCGTGCTCCCCATGACAATCCAACGCCTAATGATCTGAGGTGGAGCCGAGGCAGCCACCCTGCCACCCCTGGTGGAAAAACCGTCTTCCACAAAACCAGTCCCTGGTGTCAGAAAGGTTGGGACCACTGTTTTAAGGGATAGAAAGGTTCTAGATAAGGGATTTCTCTTGTAAGATACTGCTGTTTTTGACAAAGATTATAATCCAAATTGTAAAATTTTAAGGTATCTGCTTAACATTCAACTATTTTCCAAAAGTTACCTTTAGACTTAATTCTTTAATATGATATATAAGTTTAGTGTGGGGTGAAAATGAGCTTCCTAGTGGCATTTAAGGAGCATTGTGATAAATATTATAAACACTATCAGAACATCTTGCTTCACAGAAGATACAGTTTTAGCCACAGAATTCACTAAACTTCTTCGATTGCTGTATTTGAAGGAGAGATTTGTGTGTTTATCTGACTAATTTGATGGCTGATGAAAATAGCCTGTCTTTATGTGTATAGAGAACTCTCTTGAAAAGTTTCTATTTACTAGTCTTTGCAAAATGTTGTGGGTTGGTTGGTTTGTTTTTGAGATAGGGTCTCACTGTGTCATCCAGGCTAGAGTGTGGTGGCACTCCTAGCTCATTGCAACCTTAAACTCCTGGACTTGAGTGATCCTCCTGCCTCAGCGTCCTGGATAGCTGGGACTACAGGCACATGCCACCACGCCCAGCTAAATTTTCTGTTTTTTTGTAGAGATAGTGTCTTGCTCTTGCTTGGGCTAATCTTGAACTCCTAACCTCAAGTAATCTTCCTGCCTGGCCTCCCAAAGTGCTAAGATTACAGGTGTAAGCCACTGAGCCTGGTCCTGAAACGTTGTGATTATTTAAGGTCTTGTCTGTCTGTATTTTTCCCCTAAGTTTTTTATCTTAATTTACTTCCTTGATAAATATCTTAAGAGGATCTACTTAATAAATTTAACAGTTTTGGAAAAATTGCAGTGCAAATATTTTGGATTTTTGTTTGTTTGCAAGTGAAGATATAAATGAAATACTACTAAGTACTTTGAGCTCTGAGCAAAGGCCTAATGAGCTTTTATCAAGATCATGATCAGTGAACATTTTCTGCTAAATGCAAAGCAGTCTGCTGTGAAAAGATTAGCAAGATATATCTTTTACCCTTATTTGAATACTGTCAAGGAGATACAATATAAAGATATTATATGTCTTCAAAACCATATCATTTATTGTTTAATCAATTAGGATTAGCTTTAACTACATATAATAGAAAAATCTAAACTTTCAGTGGCTTAAACAATATGGAAATTTATTTCTTGCTAGCATAAAAGAAGTCAGAAATAGGCCACATAAGGCTGATATGCTGGTTTACAGAATTGTCAGGCACCTAGACTCCTAGCCATGACCCTCATCATCCAAGATGACTAGAATTATTACATTATCATTTGAGGAGTAGTAGGATGAAAGTAGGATGAAAGAAAGCATAAAGTAATACCTTTTGTTTATATCTCAGCTAAAATTTAGTCACATGGCTATGTGTAACTACTTGGGAAACTGAGAAATTTCTTTTAGCTGGGCACATATGGCTGTTCCTCACAAAGAATTGGAATGTAGTTACTGAAAAGTAAGGAGAGTATGGTTGTTGGGGAGGCAACTCATAGTCTGCCACAAAAGACAGAGTCTTTTTTTGTTTTTTATATATATATATTTAAATTTACACATTGCAATTGTACATATTTATGGGATATAATTTGATATTTTGACAAATATGTTATATAATGATTCAATCAAGGTAGTTTATTTAGGTGAGATTAATTCTTACTGGGAGATTGGAAAAACATTTGAAGAATGGATATACATTCATAAATAGTAATGAAGAGGGAAAGAACATTTTAGGAGGTGAGAATAATTTGAATATAAAGATACAGAAGCAGGAAAGCAGCAGGAAGGTATGAAAGGTAAGGCTCTCTGTAGGTGGGTTGAGACTGCATTGTAGGAGGTTCCAGGTTCTACCAAGAATAATGGCAGAAAATGAGCTGGTATGGAAAACAGTGGGACTGGTCCTAAAGTCTTTAAGGAAAAGTAGATTCCTAGAAGTCAGGAGATTGTTGGGGAGAGATTGGTCAAGTCAGATATGATGGGGCTTCAAAGAAATAAAGTTGGACATGCAACACATTTAGAGGTTACGTGAAGAAGAAGGTTGACCCACTCCTCATAGTGATTCCATGATTCATAGTGATTAAGGAAAGATCTTTCTTTCTCTTTCAGAGGGCTTAAGGTAAGTAATACTGTCACGTATACATTAAGGCAAGTATAACTGACCCTTAAAACAATGTGGGAGTTAGGGATACCAACCCCTGCATAGTTGAAAATCCACATAAAACTTTTGACTCCCCTAAAACAGTTGACAAAAAAAGTTTTGTATATGTATTGTATACTATATTCTTACGATAAAGTAAACTAGAGAAAAGAAAATGTTACTAAGAAAATCATAAGGAAGAGAAAATATATTACTATTAAGTGGAAGTGGATCATTGTAAAGGTCTTCATCCTTATCATCTTTACATTGAGTACTGGCTACGGAGGAAAAGGAGGAGTTGCTTTTGCTGTCTCAGGACGGCAGAGGTAAGGGGAGGCAGGAAAGGCAGGCACACTTGGTGTAACTTTTTTTTTTTTTTGAGACAGAGTCTTACTCTGTTACTCCAGATAGAGTGCACTGGTGTCATTGTAGCTCACTGCAACCTCAAACTCCTGAGCTCAAGTGGTCCTCATGCCTCAGCCTCCCAAGTAGCTGGGCCTACAGGCACACGCCACCACACATGGCTAATTTTTCTGTTTTTGTAGAGACGAGGTCTCACTCTTACTCAGGCTGGTGTTGAATGCCTGAGCTCAATCAATCCTCCCACCTCGGCTTCCCAGAGTGCTAGAATTACAGACGTGAGCCACCGCATCTGGCCTTGGTATAACTTTTATTGAAAGAAATCCACATATAAGTGGACCTGTGCCATTCATTTTGTTGTTCAAGGGTCAGCTGAAAATAAAAAGCATTCAAGGATGTGAGGGAGTTCGTTTACAGTGGACCTTAGGGAGTGCAAAAAGTTTGGTATAGTTAGTGGAGAGGATGCTAGAAGAGATCTAGGTAGAGATAGAACCAAGCTAGCTGTAGATTGGCATGAAAGGTAGATGGAGGTTAGAAGGGTCCATTTAAGGAGCTGATTGTGGGTCATAAAGATGAAGAAAACGTGGTAGCAGTCTAAAAGAACTTTTAATCGTGGTGGTGGAAAGTGGAGAGGAGGAAGAGGTAGAGGTAAAGGGAAGAAATGGGAGTATAGAATGAGAACCAGCCCCCAGATTCTCTTGGGTAGATTGCAGTATTAGATGGCTTAGATTAAGTTGTGTTAAGAACCTCTCAAATCTCAGTGCATTATAAAAACGAAGATTTATTTCTTGCTCATGTTATCCATTGTGGCTTGGCTGAGGCTTTGTTCTACGTCATCTACATTTTGGGACTAAGGCTGATATCTGGGACAAAGCAGAGGGAAGAGAAAATGGTGGAGCCATTCCTAGCTTCTGCTAGGAAGTGGCAGGTGTCTCTTCTGTACACATTCCAATCACCATAGCCAGGCTTGACACCAGTGGATGGGAGGCTGTACTCGCATAGTGAGAAGCCTTGGTGTGGTGGAGGGGCACTAAATGTTTTTGAACAAATAATACCATCTACTGCAGTGGGATAGTATGAGAAAGTCACATCAAGTGTAGGGTGCTTGTTGACAATTAATACGGCAACCTAGCCTTTGAGTAGCAAAGAGGTGAGTGGATTAGCCACAACTAAATTTCACTCTGTGTTCAGGCTGCTGCTTTTTGTGATGGGTTATGTTTAGAGAAATGAATGACTATATGTGAAAGGAAATGCAAGGAAGTTTATTCATAATTTATTACTTAATCTACAATGTTTATTGTAGATTATTTACTTGCCTACTTTTATACCCAATACATTATCCTAGGCTGAGAGGGATTACTATCATTGTTAAAAACAGTAACAACAAAACTTAGTTTAATTGGGAACTCTCAACACCAGTTAGAGGGCTGCTTTTTTATATCCTTCAGCTAATACAACAAGCCTGTAATTCATTTCTTTGCACATAAGTACATTCTTTTTTTCAATGAATGATGTGTCTGAGGTTTTGTTGTATATATGTTAAGACTTACATCTGGCACAATGCCATGTCTTTTGGGGAAGTATATGTTTATTTTAAGGACATGAAAATATAAGCTAAAGAATTGAAGATATATATCAACTATGGGAAATTTCTAGATTAATCACTAATGGGTTAAGATTTTTAATTTATATCTGATATATAGGCCAGTTTTGGCTACTTGTATTTGTCCTAGGTATTAGATTTTTATTTTGGTTTGACTACTTCAGGTTCCTTCATCTGTTGCACAGGTAGTGAAAGCAAACAGTGCAATCTGTATATGAAACAAGAATTGAAGGAGGCCGGGCGCTGTGGCTCACGCCTGTAATCCTAGCTCTTGGGAGGCCGAGGCGGGCGGATTGCTCAAGGTCAGGAGTTCAAAACCAGCCTGAGCAAGAGCGAGACCCCGTCTCTACTATAAATAGAAAGAAATCAATTGGCCAACTGATATATATATAAAAAAAATTAGCCGGGCATGGTGGCACATGCCTGTAGTCCCAGCTACCAGGGAGGCTGAGGCAGAAGGATTGCTCGAGCCCAGGAGTTTGAGGTTGCTGTGAGCTAGGCTGACGCCACGGCACTCACTCTAGCCTGGGCAACAAAGCGAGACTCTGTCTCAAAAAAAAAAAAAAAAAAAAAAAAAAAAAAAGAATTGAAGGAGATAGGTAGATAAAACATGAAAAGAGTGTGAAAAGAAAGGATAAAATCAAGATGACAGTGAAAATGAAATTTGATTAAGGTAAAGACATAGTTGTTTCAGGAAACAGCATGATTAGTGTGAATATATTGTTTTAATGTCCCAAATAATAGGTGCATTTTTCTTGGTATATTTTTTAAATCAAGTCTGCAGATTGACAGTGTGACTTTTTTTGGCCTAATTTAGGTGTATACTCTTGATGTACCAGATGCATTCTATTACTGTTATAGTCCAGACCCTGGCAATGCAAATGGAAAAGATGCCATTATGGAAGCAATGGCTGAGCAGATAGTTACAGTCTGTGCTACCTTGGATGAAAATCCTGGAGTAAGATATAAAAGGTAAGACACTCAGCATCTGTACATATTATGCTTCCTTTTTGCTGTCTAGTATAGGGGTAAATAATGTCTGTGTACTTTTGTGTATTGGTTTGCAAAATTTCCTTATGTAATAATCATGTTCTATATATAGGAGATTTAAAGTTTAAGGCTTAATAGCCTTTAACTTAATACCCTTTAGTAACAAAAGGCTTTGTTACTAAATTTCAGAACTTAAATTTGGTAAAATTTGTAGATGTAGTTTTTTTTATCAGTTTAAGGAATGCTTAGAAGAAATGTCTTTGTTGTCATGTATGGAATACAGTCTTACAATTAATGTTATATCATTAAATTTCTGCCAAATTTAAATGGCCAAATTTTCTGTATACTTGTTATAGTGTCTGAGTATGTATAGTATTAATAACTAATTCCAGTGTCCATCCTAAATAAGTTTTGGGTTTTTTTAAGGAGGTAAAGTTTAACTTTAGTAATGCATACATTGATTTATATGCTTCTTTTTAAAAATGAAGTTTACTATAAAGTACATAAATTATATGTATAGTGAGTCCTCACTTAAATGTCATGAATAGCTTCTTGGAAACTGAGTTTAAGTGAAATGATGTATAATGAAACCAATTTTATCATAAGCTAGTTGATATAAACAAGAGTTAATTTCCTTAGTCACAAAATGTCACCTAACTTGTATTAAAGATCCAAAACACTTCTGGTATTAAACATTGAGATAAATGTGAGCTATACATACATTTATAAAAGATTAATAAAAACAAGCAAGATCATTATATATCCAATTATTGCAGTACAGGGTCTGCAGTCTCTGGCTGTCGGCCAGAGACCATCTTGGCAGCTCAGGATACAAGGTGGGAACCCACCCTGGACAAGATGCCATTCCATCACAGGGCACTCTCACACACATATCTACACTTACTCAGACTGGGACAATTTAGACACGCCAATTAACTGAATGTGCACATCTTTGAAATGTGGGAGGAAACCAGAGTACCAGGATAATAAAATGCATGCACATATGGGGAGAACATACAAACTCCATGTAGACAGTGGCCCTGACCAGGAATGGATTTTTTTTCCCCCTCAATGTCATAATGAGACAACATTGAATAAAATGACATTATTCGAGGACCTGCTGTATATGGCTTGATAATTCATTGCAAAATGAACATACCCATCTAACACCACCAGGTTAAAAAAAATAGAACTTTTTTTTTTCGTGACATAGTCTCACTCTGTTGCCCCAGATAGAGTGCCATGGTGTCAGCCTAGCTCACAACAACCTCAAACTCCTGGGCTTAAGCAATCCTTCAGCCTCAGCCTCCCGAGTAGCTGGGACTACAGGCATATGCCACTATGCCCAGCTAATTTTTTTCTATATATTTTTAGTTGGCCAATTAATTTTGTTCGCTTTTTTCAGTTGAGAGGGGGTGTCGCTCTTGCTCAGGCTGGTTTCGAACTCCTTCTGACCTTGAGTGATCCACCCGCCTCAGCCTCCCAGAGTGCTAGGATTACAGGCGTGAGCCATTGCGCTCAGCCAAAAAAATAGAACATTAACAGCATAGCAGAGGCCTCCCTTGTCTTCCCTTGTAGTAACCCCTGTTCCTCCACAGAGATGACTACCATTTGACTTCTAACACATGGTTTAGTTTTTCCCGATTTTAAATTGCTATAAATGGAATTGTATGTTTTTTTGTTGCTCAACATTATTTTTTGAGAGTCTTCTGTGTTGTGGTATGTGGCCAGACAACTTGGATTTTAATTCTGGCTGTGCTACATACTCATTGTGTGACTGGTCTCAGTTTCTTTATCTGTGAAATGGGAATGATAATAGTACCCACCTCATAAGGTTGTTGTTAGAATTAAATGAATTAGTATCTGTAAAGCACTCCAAAGAGTGCATGGCACTAATAAAATAGTAGTAGTAAATATACTGCACTACTACTAGTAATAAGTATTATTACTCATTTCTACTTTAAAAAATTCTTTAATTTGAACATTGGCATTTGTCAAATCAGTTGACTAAATTGTTTAATTTCAAATTCATGTAGTACTTTAAGTCACATTACTCATAACTTACCATTTAAAAATTCCACTATTAATTACTTAGAAAAAAATATAGTAAATCTCCTTAATTCATATTTACCAAACAACCTCTTTACTTAAACCTTAGATATTAGAAGCATTCTTTTTCTTATAAGTGATGTGCTGATTCCATTCTGGACTCAGTGGAGCTGAGCTAAGTCATTTGGCTCCTGCTAGTCACTGTTCAAGCTTTTGCTGTTGATGATTTTAATGTTCAGGGAAATAAATAAACATAACCAATTTATAATTTAATAGTTCACCTAGGGACCTATTTTGAGTTATTCTAATAAATAATAATCCTGTCTTTTAAAATTCTGCATGTTTTTTCAAAATATTCCTTTATGTTCTTTAGACTTTTCAAGTGTAATTTTAACATGAAGTTATTGCCTTTTGAAAATGTTTTGCAAAGAGTATAAATTACTTTTTATAGGTGCTGTTTTATTTATTTTTGACGTATAAAATGTAAAAATTCTTTAACATTTTGAAGCCCTCACTATGAGACCTCCCATTTTTTAAGTTGGCGTGCTAAAGAGCCTTCTCCAACATTTTTCTTGTAGATTTGGAAGTTACACTAATGTCACTGGTCATTAGTGTACAATTACAATTTAGAGTACAATGTTACCATTTTAAAAGGCAGTGATACACAAAATTACACAAACGAGTATACTGGAAAGTTCACTCCTGTTAGAGAGCAGGTGGGGAAAGCTCACACTGCTACGTTGACAGGATAATTGGTAAATTAAATTAGAGAGCAATTTGATAATTTCTAGAAAAGTTGAAAATGTACATGCCCTATAACCCAGCAATTATACCTTTACATATAATATACCTAGACATATACATGGAGATGTATATATAAACATTTGTTTCAATGTTGTAATCATGTAAAATTGAGAATGACTCTCCTGTCCATCTTTAGGAGAATGAATATAGAATCCAGTATAACCCTATGGTTGAATACTATATAGGAGATAAAGTGAATAAATCTGATCTATATGTCAACATAGATCTCAAACACACACACACACAAGTAACAGAAGTGACTAGAAAATACATGTGAAATTCATGATTGTGGTTGCCTTGTGTTGGAGGGTAGCACATGGGACAGGAATAAAGGGAATTGCAGCTTTATGTGTAATATCTTATTTCCTTTATATTAAAAAATCTGAAGCACATATAAGGTTTACATTCATAAAATATTTCATTTTGTAAACATTTTTACAAATAAATTACATGGCTTAGTTTTAGAATTCAACTATATGATATTGTAAAATATGTCCCGAGAGAAGGAAAGATAATTGTTTTAACATTTTTACTATTTTTAGTAAACCTCTAGATAATGCCAGTAAGCTTGCACAGCTTGTTGAAAAGAAGCTTGAAGAATACTACAAGATTGATGAAAAGAGCCTAATAAAGGTAATGTATGAAAGGCAAATAGTGACTATACATAAAGTCTATCTTATTTCTTTACAAGCCAAAATAACTTATTCATTAATTTTCTAGTATTTGGGAATCATTTGTGTAGATCTCCCATACTGATTTTAGAGTCTTTAACATAGACAGTTATGGATACCTTAATAGTGTGGTATTATTATACCCTCTAAATATCCCTCTAAAGGGGAAGTTAATGGGTTTTGAAGTCAGCACTGTGTCCACATCTGGCTCTGCCATTTAATTCATTGTTAATGTCAGTTTGGGCAAATGATATAACTTATGTAACTAGATTTTCTTTTCTATAAAATGGAGATAGTAGCAGTATCTATTTTATAAGTTAGTGAGAGGATTAAATGAGTTAATACATGTAAGTCCTTAGAGTAATACTTGCCAATGAGTAAACATTTACTAAATGTAGGAATTCCTGTTATTACTAGCTCTTTTTTTTTTAATCTATAAATGAATGAGATAATATGTATCTTGGCTTGGTTGGTTTGAGGATTAAGTGAGTTAACATGTGTTTGGCACCTATAGGAATTTAGTAATTGGCAGCTGTTACCTTATAAAGATAATATAAACAAAGACTAAGGTTGAAACCTTGGGATACCAGCATTCAGGTGTGGGTTAGAGAATGAAGAGCCTGAGGAGACTGACAAAGGCAGTGCCTACAGGGCTAGGAAGCCATATTACAGTAGCTAGAGAATGAAGGAAAATAACTATTTATAGTTTAAAAGAGGAAATGGGGTCCGGGGGCAAGGTGGCTCACGCCTATAATCCTAGCACTCTGGGAGGCCAAGGTGGGAGGATTGCTGGAGGTCAGGACTTGGAAACCAGCCTGAGCAAGAGCAAGACCCTGTCTCTACTATAAATAGAAAGAAATTAATTGGCCAGCTAAAATTATATAGGAAAAAATTAGTTGGGCATGGTGGCGCATGCCTGTAGTCCCAGCTACTCGGGAGGCTGAGGCAGCAGGATTGCTCGAGCCCAGGAGTTTGAGGTTGCTGTGAACTAGGCTGATGCCATAGTACTCACTCTAGCCTGGGTGACAAAGGGAGACTCTGTCTCAAAAAATATATATAAAAGAGGAAATGGACCTGGAAACCACCAATTACAATGCTATGTAATAAGTGGAATGAGAAAAGAATACATAGAGTATAATGGAAATACAGTCTGGGGCTTATCTTGTTCTAAATTGGAGTCTTGGAAGGCATCCTAGAGGAAGAAGCCCTTGAACTTGGACAATGAGTATAACATGATAGAAGAAGGAGTTTATTGCATGGATAATAGGATTCTTAGGGTAGAGGCATTAGAGAAAAAGGCAAAAATCCATGATTAAGCAACTTGGCTGGAATGGAGAATGTAAGCTTAGATGCTAGTTACTTTAAAAGTTTTCCATTTTGGCTGGGTGTGGTGGCTGATGTCTGTAATCCTAGCACTCTGGGAGGCCAAGGCAGGAGGATTGCTTGAGTTCGGGAGTTGAGACTGCTACAACGGGGAAACAAATCAAGAGTACTGCAAAACAGGCTTTTATTTACACTAGTGGGCTCAGAGGGGTCTTGCCTCCAGATTTTGAGCCCCAAACGGCAGTCTTTTATACATTTTGTTTAGGGAGGGAGAGGGGCAATGTGGTTATCTTTAGCAGGCAGGGTCTCAAGCAATGTTAGTTCCTGGTACAGAGTTCCTATAGAATTCCTTTCTGTCTTATCATAGCAGAATCTGCTGCAAGCGGGAACTTAATGGGAGCTCAAGAGTTAGAGCTGTTAGGGGAGGGAGCAGGGGTGTTTATAGAAGCTAGAGAGAGTTACAACTATTATTGAGAGTTACAGACTGTTTAGATAAGACTGCAGGGTAGAGCCCTGGGAATGGAGTTTTTTTACTTCAAGACCAGCCTGAGCAGGATCTGTCTGTACTAAAAATAGAAAAATTAGCTGGGCATCCTGGTGTGTGCCTGTAGTCTCAGCTACTTGGGAAGATGAGGCAAGAGGATCACTCCGGCCAGGAGTTTGAGGTTTCAGTGAGCTACCATGATGCCACTACCATGATGCACTCTAGCCTGGTGACAGAGCAAAACTCAGTCTGAAAAAAAAAGTTATCAGTTTTTGGCTTGGAAGTCTGGTGAAGGCTGTTATTCTGGTTGTAGTGAAGACAGAATGGCTTAGTAGAAATAGTAGGTAGTGAATAAATGCTTGTTGAATTAGTGAAGAGATATACAGTCAACATATTAGCAAATATCCCTGTAATCCTTCATGTTTCAATGGGAAAAAGGACAAAATCTACAAAAACCAAACTTGTCCTTTCTGTTCTTTCTTCTCGGGAAATAATACCTCCTTCAAATACTTGATACCTTTCCTTTATTCAAGGACTCCTAAGAAAGTGTTACCTCCTTTTTGAAGCCTGTCCTGACTCTTCAGTCCAAGTGATGCATCCTCCTACCTGCTGTATAAGTCCCAAACCCTGCTATAACACTTTTGTTGTACTGTCTTTTCCCTATTTATGTTTCTGCAGACTTATAGCTCACATTTATTGAGGGCTTACTAAATGCCAGGCACTGTGCTAAGTGTTTCATGGTCTTATTACATTTAATCTTTATAATAATCTTATAAGACAGAGGTACCGCGATTATATTTCATTTAAAACAAAAGAATACTGTCATATAAATAGGTTAAACATTTTGTCCGAGCATGTACAGCAAGAAAGTGGTCAAGGCTGGACTCAAATTCATATCTATCTGATTTCAGAAGCTGTGCTCTTATGCCATACTGTCTCAAAGTTTGTTTAAATAAATGAGGTTAACTTTAAAAGATTTTAAAAATCTAGCCTAGGCAGGGCGCATGGCTCACACCTGTAATCCTGGCACTCTGGGAGGCCAAGGCGGGCGGATCCCTCAAGATCAGGAGTTCGAAACCAGCCTGAGCAAGAGTGAGACCCCGTCTCTACTAAAAAAAAATAGAAAGAAATTAGCTGGACAACTAAAAATATATAGAAAAAATTAGCTGGACATGCCAACTGTGGTAACAAATGACAATGAAAGCCTGGTTATCATTAATCGCAAACATCTCTAATCACTAAACAGTGAATAACAACAGTGTCAGGAAAACTGATTGTTAATATCAGTCTCTTTCATATTTCATTTCATTTTTATTTATTTTTTAAGATAAGGTATTTTCCTCTGTTATCCTGTATCACCTGGCTGGTCTCAAACTTGGCCTTAAGCGATCCGGCTGCCTCAGCCTCCAAAGCAGTTGGGCTTACAGGCGTGAGCCACTGTACCTGGCTTATATTTGATTTTAAAAAGCAATAAATTCTTTAGATTATTATTCAAAGCAATAAGAGGTAACTACAACTCATTTGACAAACATTTCCTATTTATTTACATATAGCAGACCGAAGTAAATTACATAGGCGAGATTTTTTTTTTTTTTTTTTTTGAGACAGAGTCTCACTCTGTTGCTAGGCTAAGGTGCCGCCGTGGCATCAAGCGCCTAGCTCACCGCAGCCACAAAACTCTGGGCTCAGCATCTCCTGCCTCAGCCTCCGGAGTAGCTGGGATTACAGCATGCGCCACCATGCCTGGCTAATTTTTTCTATTTATATTGTTTAGTTGTCAGCTAATTCTTTTTTTTCTTTTCTTTTCTTTCTTTCTTTCTCTTTCATTTCTTTTCTTTTCTTTCTTTTCTTTTTTTCTTTCTTCTTTTTTTTTTTGTAGAGATGGGTCTCACTCTTGCTCAGGCTGGTCTTGGAACTCCTGAGCTCAAACGATCCACCTGCCTCAGCTTCCTAGAGTGCTAGGATTATAGGCATGAGCCACGGAGCACCAGCCAGTGTGATCTTTTAAAATAGCATAGTGGTTAAGAGCACAGGCATTGTAGTGAAGACCTGAGTTTGAATCTCCATCCTGCCTTACCTGTGTGATTGGACAACTTACTTAATTTCAAGCCTTAATTCCTCATGGTCATATGGAGATAATAATACCTATCTCACAGGGTTACTAAATGAATGAAATAATCCATAATTTTCTTGCCTTAGCAAGTGTCTAACACAAAGAGCTCAAGTAGAGTTGTTTATGTTTATTTCTAAATTTATATCAGTTTTAGTGTTTATGGAGATAATTAATAAAATAGATTTGGTGCAAACCAAATGTTATTACTTTTTTTCAAAGGAATTTCAAATATTATATAATAATTCCTCAGTATATGCTGGGGATTGGTTCTAGGACCTTTCATTTATGCCAGAATTTATGGATACTCAAATCCTATGGTCACCCCTGTAAAACCTGCACATACAAAAAGTCTGTCATCATATACTCAGATTTTACATCTTGAGAATATAGTATTTTGATCCACGTGGTTGGAAAAAGTATCTTGGCAGAGTTCAGTGGTTTGTAGCTATAATCCTAGCACTTTCAGGACGCCCAGGCAGGAGGATCTACTTGATGCCAGTAGTTTGAGACCAGCCTAGTGACACAGTGAGACCTGTATCTTATAAAAAATAATTCAACTCATGTTGTTCCAGGGTCAACTGTTTATTAAATATGGCTCTTAATCTGAATTATGAAAGCTTTTATATATGTTAAGTTGTTTGGTTTCTCCCTCTTGTGCTACTCAGATTTTTTTGGAGACAGAGTCTGTCTCACTCTGTTGCCCTGGCCAGAGTGCCGTGCGTCAGCCTACGCCCCAGCAACCTCAAACTCCTGGGCCTCAAGCGATCTCTGTCTCAGCCTCCAAGCAGCTGGACTACAGGCATGACCACATGCCCGCTAATTTTTTCTATATAAGTTTTAGTGGCCAATTAGTGTCTTTCTATTTTTATAGTAAGAGATCGGGTCCGCTCTTGCTCAGGCTGTTCGACTACCCGACCTCGACATCTCGCGCCGCCCGCCTCCAGAGACTAGGATACAGGTTGAGCCACCGCGCCTGGCCTAACTTCACTTCTTAATCAAGTAATCATTTGTTTTTTGTATGTTATTTGGTGAGAGAAGGGAC